CCGTTTGTTTTTAGAAGGGGGAAGCTTCCCAAAATTGAGTATAGGAGGGATGATTCTCCTTGATCCTCAGGAACTGAAATTTATGTAGAATTCATTTATTTGCAAATTCCTTCCCTCTTTCATTCTTGGAAATAAAATAACTTCTAAAAGGGAAAAGGGGTAAATTTGTAATTTAACGTGACAGCTAATATTTATTGACAGCTTATTTCTATGTTCATTCTTATGCTATTAGTAAATGTATATGATCTTGATCCAACTATATTATGAACACTCAAGGACAAGGTATTATCATCCATTTCTTTGGTCTCTCCTGTAGTGCCCTAACCATCCCTCGAAAACGTTTTTACTGAAGAACTGAGGGACAGATTGGCTGACCTTGCTATTACTCTTAGGTTTTATGGCCATGAAATGTGTTAACATCTTGCCTCATTTTGCTTTGGGTCCGAGAAGTAGTGTTCTTTCCAAATTTGCTATATGAAATCCAGCCACTGGAATACAGGAGCCATTCTCAAAGAATGAGTTAGGCTTTCTCTAGGCTTGTGTGTGTGGCAAGATCCTAATGGAATGTCTTTTAAATTTCATTAGCTTTATGGGAATAGCACTGGGATGGGAAAATATGAAAACTCTTATTTGAGTGACCACAACCATCCACACTAGTGTATTTACCATCCTTATTAACTGGTTACATGGAAGGAGGGATTTAGTAAAGAAGATTTTCTTTTCTTGGGTTGGCTGTTAGAGTGATAAAACATGCTTGCGGGGCTATTCTGGTTTTAACAGTTTCTCACATCACCCAAGATACTCCAAAGGCAAGAATTATAGTTTACTTTGCCTTCCTTGCTGAGATGCAGACTGAGAGAAGGAACTCAGCATGTTGAGTTTGCTGTTTAGCATATTACCTATTTTCCCACATCACAAAGCTTTTAGACATAGAAATCACAACACCCAAACAGAGATTGGAATCGTATTACATTCCTGCTCCCTCTTAGAAACAAGGGAGAAGATAGGAAAGGGAGAATGAATTGGTTTTCTCAAAAGGCCAGCGAATGTCTCTTATCATTGTCTCAGAATGATCAATGTTCCTATTTGGGTAGTTGTGGGAGCTGGGTGAAAAATGTCTCCTCTTCTCAGAAGGATAATGTTACGCTGAGGAGTGCTACCAGGGACTTTATGGGTGAGAAATTTGAACAGAACTAGTGTAAGGCTGCACAGAGCAAATATCATCTATTTTACTCAGGGAGGAGGCGCATTACATTCTAATAGACCCACCATGATGGTTCATGTTGTTTTCCTCTTGATGAATATGCCATGTTTACATGAGTCTGACCACAGGTACCCAAAGTCAAGGTCAGTCCAAGGGACTCCCCAAACCACATAGGTCCAATTTCTGGCTCCTTCAAACCACCCAGATTTGTGCTCTTTTGTGTCCCAATTAGAGTAAATGAAGAAATCAAAAGGTTTGTCAGTTAGTTCAGGATGCAGGAACCATGGACAAGAGGTACACAGCTCAGGTCTCCAAAAGGCCAAGAACGTTCCAGAATGTTTTGTTTTCTTGGAGTGTAATATGTTTTTTAAAAATACAGTGAAATTTTAATTTCATACTAGGGGTGTGCCACATGCCTGCTGCTGTGTCCATTCTTATGCTAGATTATTGTTGAAAGACCTACTTGTTGTTTTGAAATTTTTAATTTTGTTTATAAAGTTTACCTTATTTTTGAAAATTACACCATTAATGCCAAATAATTTTCCTTTTTACTTAGCAAATATATAATTATATTATTAAAATAAATAAATATTAGTTATATAATTAATATTACCAAATTCTATAATATGAAGCTGTTAACTCTTTTAATCTTCATAATAACGCAGTGAGATGTCATTACTACTGTTAGTCCCATTTTACAAATTAGTAAACTGAGACTCTAAGGTACTGAATAATTTGCCAGAACTATACAGTTGATATGTATGTACTAGGAATCTGAACCCAGGAAATCTGATTCCAGACTCCTCTCTTTGCACCACTAATAAAATTCATAAGAATATAAAAGCAATAAAAAAGTACTCAAAGACAATATAAATGTGGTTTTTTTCATTTTTAATCCTGTACATAAGTGTCACATAACAGATTCTAGCCTTTATATTCAATTTTTCGATACATGAAATATTTCATTTTCTTTCCTCTCTTTTTCTCTGCATTGTAAATTCCATCAGTATTACACAGTGCTCTGTGGGACATCTCTAACAATAGTAGGGCGACCAGCCATCCAGGTTTGCCAGGGACTTCGAGGGTTCCTGGGACACAGACTTTCAGAGCTAAGACTGAGGAAGTCTGGACAAAACAGGATGAGTTGGTCACCCCACACATTTCATCTGCCCACTCCACCAGGGGTGGACCCCCGACTTGTCTCCAGTTCACCTCTCTAGAACCACAGCATTCTTGTGCATGTCTCTTTCGCACTGTGTAAGCATTTCTCTGAGATGTGCCCCAGGCCCTGAGATCGCTGCCTCATGGCATCTGCATATACTTAACTTGACCCAGCACTGCCCTCGCCTACACTGCCACTGACAGTGTGAAGATCCTAGTGCCCACATCCTCATTCATCCCTGGTGTTTCCCAGCCTGCTGTCCCCCAGTTCAACAGTGATGTCTTGTTGTTTTAATTTACATTTCTCTGATTACTAATGGATTTGAGCATCTCTTGATAAGCCTTTGTCCTTTTAGTTTCCTATTTTGTAAATTGTCCCTATTCCCTGTCCTTTTCCAAACTGGAAAGGCTTCATTTTTCTTATTGATTTGTAAATCTTCTGTGTATATTCTAGATATTGATCAATATTTTAGATACTGGAAATACCTACCCCCAGTCTGTTGCCTGTCTATAAACGAATCTGTGGTGCCCCTTCACTGGCCAAAAATCCCCCCACTAGGTTACCAGTTGAAGTGTATCATGTACATGTACCATTTCCCCACAATGAATGTACTGCTTGGACTGCAAACATGTACTAACAAAAACCCACATATTCTACAATATTTTTTAAATCTTATATTCAATTTTTGTAACTTGCTTTTTCAAAAAAATTGAAACTTAGAATGGTTTTTCCATGTTGTTAAATAGTCTTATAGATGTTGTAATGGCTGTTTTATGTTCCCATTATGTGTGTGTACTGCTCTTTCTCAAACCATTTTCTTAGGGTTGGCCATTTGGCCCTCTAGTTTCATGTTACAATCATTAGCTCTGTCATGACTGTCATATGCAGAATTATTTGTGTTGTTTAGAATATATGTTTAAGATACTTTCTCAGGAGTAAAATTCCAAACTCAGGAATATGAACTCCTTTAAGTGTACTTTAGATATAGGTTGTCAAATCCCAAAGAACTGGAAAAAAGAATACACTTTTCACAGTATCTACCACACTATAAAGAACTACCTTCACCGTTCGCATGGTAGCACTAAGAATGATGTATTAAAATTTTTTCTAATGTAATAGGTAGAATATGGCCTTTTATTGTTGTTTCATTTTTATTTCTTTGATAGCTTGAAAGTTAACAGTTCATTCATACTGGCTGATCGATTAGGAAAGTATTTATGAGTGGTATGTTTGGGTCCTTTGCCTATTGAGATCATGCAGAAGCTTTGGGGGAATCAAAAAGAGAACTGCTAAAGTTTTTCCATTCGCCGAGGTGTTTTCTTAGTACATACTGCTAACACGCCTTTAATCTTGCCCCAAACCTTGTGTGGGATTTTTTTCTGTTGATTCTATGTAAAGTGTACTGTTGTATATGTATAAAGGATGTTATTATTTTGTTTTCAACTGTGAGAGTTCTCTGTGCATAAATCTGCATTTGATCTCTCTTTTGGGTCGTAAGTTCCTAAAGGGCCACTTTGAGTCTTTAGAAGCAATTAAGCACACTTGTGGAACGAATCCTGGGTCATGTCCTCTATTAATCCTCTTGTTTTCTCCATCAAAAACAGAATAGTGAAATCAATAATAACTGACATTTTTGAAGCACTTTTAAAGCAGTGTAGATGGACTTCCTTATTCAGTGACTCACTTGTTCTTCACAGTAGCCCTAGACAGTGATGTTCACATTCCTCAGTTGGAGAAGCTACATTTCATTGTAACATCAGAAAGAAAGAGCTTTCTCTCCACCAAAGTGTAGAATTAAAAGTTCATTATTTTATTTTTAAAATTACATTATGCTCCAGAAAAACAATCTGTTGATTTAAAGTTATGAAGCATGGAGAAAGAAGGAAAAGGTAAAGAATTAAGGAAATTTTGGAAGATCATATAAAAGGACCACATAGGCCACCAAGGAAAACTTCAATGAATCAAAAATAATTGAAGGGAATAGATGAAATCAGATTATCAAAAACTTGATGGTTCTTTTCAAGTACTAAAAAATATTTTATCATTTTTCATTATTTACTTACAGTTTTCCCATTTACTACAAAAATCAACAATGTAGTATATCCAACTGTAGATACTGTACCACCTATTTAAAATAAAAAAGAAGATATGTGTTTGAATGTATCTGTTGTAAAGACCGATGAATAGGTAGATACATCTGTACTGTTTTATGATTTAAATGGCCCTTACTTAAGAGCACTCTGCAGGGCTTTTTCCCCCTTAATGTAAAAACAGAAAAGAACGTTGAAGAAAGGAATTGAAGATGTATTCAAACCCCGGTGGTAGTGCCTGGGGTGGGAAGGTCAGGCCTTCAGTGTGTAGGACCCTTTGGAGAATCCAGTGAAGGTTAAAGCCCTTTGCTTTAGGTACTGGAGAGCAAACTAAAAATGTAATAAGCCAACAAGCCCTGAAATCCCTCTAAGGTCAAAGGGCTTCAGCCCAAGTAGTGCATTTCAGATGTGTGTCCGGAAGATTTTACAGGTGATCTTAAGGGAGAAAAGCATTTTGCCATAAGAATCCAGGCTGAGTGAGGTTCTAGCTTAGTTGGAGCAGTCTTGTGCCTTGAAGTAAGTTAATGTCATATTTGTGTTACAGGATTTTATGGACAGCTGCAGACATTCTGCCCCCCACATTACCCTGAATCCCCCAGAACTGTGCCACCTGGCAACTCCTGCAGTGTGGTCCCTTCCTTCGAGGACTGCCTGGTCCCCACATCCATGGGCCAGGCTGGCTTTGATGTTTTCCACAGAGCCTTCTCGACTCACTCAGGCATTGCAGGTATGTGGGGTGACTGTGACTTAGAAGCTCAGGCCCAATGAGGAGAGATCAGCTGGGTTTCCTGTGACTGGCCTGGACTAGCCTTGACCCAGGGTGCGACCGTAGCGCATCTGTTGATCTTCCCCTGACATGTCTCTCCTCTACCCCTCCCTCCTCAGCCCTTCTCCAGCCCTGCTTCCACCACCTGCTGCAGGTGCGGTCGTGTGTCTCCCAGATGGTCGCAGTCGCCTCCCTGTCTCTCCCCCTCACCTTTACCCCTATGCCCTCCATACTGCCCTGCACATTGCCTTCCAAACCTAAGGGATAAAATCGGCCACATTCCTCCTCAAATACCTTAATCAGTTTCCAGTCAGGTAGAGAATAAACTTTTCTCTCCAACATGACATTTCATCCCTCTTACCTTAGGACTGATCAGATTTCCAGACCTGCCCATACGTATTTTTCCTGTGTGTTCTTCTCTTGACCTTTTACCAGCACCCTTGACCGCACATGCCCCTCCCTCTCTATCTTTATAGTGTTTGCACCTTCTGGATTATTCTTTCCCTTCCTCTACATCTCTTTTATAATGCCTTTCCCTTTTGTGATTACTGTCACCTCCTTTTTGGGCCACTTTGATCCATCCTTAAAACACTTTTCTCTTACTTGTACTAAGCCTGAATTCCTGTACTTCCTGCTGAGTCATGACGTGGCAGCAGCCTTCAAGTCAGCCCCCTCCCCACTGGGCTCCCTAAGCAGAGACCTGCGGAAGGGCCAGCACGTGATGAACTGTCCCACTGCACTGCACACCTGGAAGATGTGTGGTCTACTTTCTGACTTCCTGTGTTCTTTCTCTTCCAGTGTATGACTTGCCTCCGGCTTCTTCAAGCCTCTTTGGGGAGTCTCTTCGCAGTGGGCCTGAGGACACAACATTCTTACAGATCAGCGCTGTAGACCGCTGTCCTAGCCAGCTTTCCTCCGTCTATACTGAAGGCTAAAAGCTCCACTGACCTGTGCTGCACACCCAGAATCTTTTAGTTGCTTGCAGCCTTTTGTTTTCAGACCATCACAGGCTGCATGAAGAAGGGTGTCAACCAACTCAATGAAGCCTGCCAGGTCACTTTGTCTTTGGAAAGCAGGACTGGACGATCAGAGCTGGCTTTGCAGCAGTATTTGCACTTGCTCCTTTTTTCTTGCTGGATTTGCCGGACCAAGTGAACAGCGGGGCTGTCTTTTCAAAGGGAAGTTAGAGTCTCACCTTGCTGGATACCTGTTACTTCCTGGCTGTTAACCCTCAAAGGACACCAATGAAAGGACGTGCATATGAAAATGTGGTTTGGGGATAACCTTTGCTGAAAACTCCAAAGAGGGAAGAGCCCAGTTACCTGAGGCACCATGAGCTGCCTCTCCCAAATCCAGGTGGTGCAGAGCCAAGCATAACAAGGAAAATCCATGTCTAAAGCATGGTGTGATCTTGACTCAGAAATTCCTGAGTTTTCCCTCTTCTCTTAGATGTTGTCATGCTAACCAATTGCAGTCAGCGTTTCCCTGCTGACAAAAGGTTTTCTACTTCACCAATCTACTTTATTTTTTAATTTTAGAGACTTGTTACTTACATCTGCTTTAAAAGGAAAAAAATAACAAAGTTTTGTTCTTTGGGTGGAAATCATGATCATTTTAGTCACCCCTACTATATGCATTTTGTCACAGCTGTGCTCGGCTTGGCCCTAGCTCTGAAATGTTAGTTTTGGAGATTGCAAAGGCTCTCTGAGGGTGACAGGATGGCCAGTCACCTGTGTGCACGCACACACACACACACACACACACCCCCTCTCTGCACTCAGTGCTGTAGCAGGAACCCTCATGGATTGACTGCTCAGTGACTCTACCTTGAAAACTTTGTACACAGGAAAAGGCCATTTGACTTATCCATCCGTTGCTTTCACTCTGGCACTCGACCTAACAAGCATTGGGAGATATGGGGACAGGACCCATGGCAGGTCATATGTGTGGGTTCCCGCAAAAAACCAACCCTGGGATGCCTGGCATCCAGTTACTTTGCACAGCCTCTGCTCAGCTCCCTCAGGGAATCCACTCATCTGTCTGTCTTTCCCTGATATTTCCCTCCTCCCTGTTTCTGCTTCCTTCTCAGCATCTTGACCTATTTCAGACATGCCAGCCATATCCCATCATATCCTGGTATCAGCTCTTAGGAAGGTAGAAGGAATGGTTCACAGAAGGTGGGCTGAAGAATGCCATCTTTTTTTCTGAAGCTTGTTTGAAGGCCTGAAATTATTCACAGAGCACTTGGCCATTTTATATCAAGCCTGAAGAAGAAGTCATTTCTATTGACAAGTAAGGTCTCGTGTCCTAGTGTGTAAGCTATAAAAACTGGCCAGACCCCAAAGACTCAGTCAGTTCCAACATTCTGGTACATTCACATTTCAGTGTTTCTTTGCTCTCTTAAAGAATGTTTTCTGAACAATAGTAAAACAATGCTGTTTATCAGACTGAGATAATTATAATCTTCAGCAAGACAGTTAAACAGCTTGGTATCAGACTTAGGGTCCCGTGACAGTTTGCTTCGTGACAGATGGGTCCTTCTAGTCTGGCTCCAAAATCAGAAGTGTTCCACCTAGTTCCCATGTTCATTCAGTGTGCAGTAAATGAGGGGAATGAGGAGCCAAGTGTGGATTTCATTTTTATAGCACACTTGCTTGATCTAGCTTGTCTTGCTAGTGGGCTGTGTACTAAGGAAAGCTATAATGCAACTTTCCAAGTCTGCAAAATATTTGCATTAACCACATTATACAAATCTGCTCTGCTTTACAGAAGGATGCATCAGGCTTCTCTGACAAGTGAGCTCTGAGACTGCATCTAAAATCCCACCATTCTTGCAGACATTCTGGGTTCTGTGACTTTTCCTAAGCAAGGATACGTGCTAACACTGGCTTGGTCAGTAGCATCCATGACGTGTCCTCTGTCACACTCTAGAAAGAAAGGAAGACTGCTGTCTTTAGAGAGACTGTCTATCCATTCTTAACCACTGACTCTGTTACAAGCAACTCAAAATACATTTCATTGGTGTTATGAGAAAAAAATGAAGAGGCAAGGTTATTATTGCAGTTGATGTTGTCAACTGCCTGTGGCTTTATAGAGAAAGTGGAAAGGAGGAAGGAGAACAAAGCCAGAAGCTGAGCCGCAGAAACCACGGATGTCATCTCCTCCTTTGGTTAAGCGGAGATGCTTGTGAGCCAGGCTCTGGTCTCACAGTGGCCCTGCTCTTTGCAGCCTCCCCTGGCCCTGGCCCTGGCCCAGAGAGATCCACGGAAGAGCCAAGGGTCAGTGGCACCTCCAGCATCTCTTTCCTCAGCAGGATTTCGAGGCCCAGCCCCTGAGGGATATTGCTGTTGTCAGAGGGAGACGTGCAGTGCCCGGAGCCCCTCACAGACCCTCAGTGTTGCCTGATGGACATGGGTTTGTGATTAGGCACTCATGACAGGATGCTTTCATGTTTCTCCAGACTCTAAAAGCTGTCCTTAGGACCCAGAATTTCTCCTGACCTTCAAATTTGTCCCTTGCTTACTTTTGCATTGCAGAAGATTTATGTATCTTACTATTTTATAGCAGTATACCTGAAACTTCAAAAGATCATTCCTTTCATTTCTTGACCTTTTTAGTCTTGATATGTAGCCATTTTCATAAACAGCTGAACAGAGATTGTCATTCCCCTTTAAAAACAAAAAACAACAAAAACAAACCGGGTGCTTGTGAAAACACGCAGCGCAAAGCCAATTACCCTATTACATTAAAAAATAAATCAGTATGTCTGGGAGCATTTAATTTGCTACATTGTCTTAATTCCCTAAGGAGACTACATCAAAATGTCAGTTGTAATTTGGTCTCTGATCATCATTTAAATATTATTTAAATATTTACTGGTCCTCTGAGGTATCTCCCTCTACCCTTGTCTCCCACAAATTACATAGGTGATCCTAAAATGGAAAAAGAGGTCGTTAACAGATTACAGCATAGTTTCCACTGATAATAGTGTGTTGGTTTTGTTCAGTTGTTTTGAAATTACTAGTTGTCGAGTGGGCTAGTACACTAATACCAGTTTTGAACAGGGACACCGCTAACTCTCCCATCAGAGAACCTTTCCTTTCCAGTTGCCTTGAAGTAGTGGGAATGGTGATTGTAACTGTTCAGTTTAACTGTTTGGTGTTTTGACTCTTTTACCATGTCATTTTATAACAGCATTTCTTAATGGCACTTTTTGTTGGCGATGTGGAATTTTGCAGTTACTTTTTTTTTCCTTTTGCCATGGGTAGAAAAAAAGAAAGAAAAACCAAACTCATTGGAGAAATAGTGAGTGTAAAAAAGAAGAGATTTATTTTATACAGACAGCAAAGCATCCTGTGTAATGTTGCTGACATGAAGCATTTGAGGGGAGTGGAAATCTGTTTTCCATAAATCACACAGGCTTTTGTACATACTTATATACACTCACGTAGAGAAATGAACTGCATATATCATACTGGATATGGGGCCCATTTTACTCTAGAGGCACATCTGGTGCTTATTGTCATAAATCTTTTAAAGAATTAGGTACACTTTTTTTCTATTAATATGTATAGTTTTGTGATTTGTCACAGTTATGTTTCATATAATCATAAGTTATTTTGTCTTGTTTCATGAAGTTCTTTTTTATGTCAAAGTAAAATGAAGGGATTGTGCACTTGGTACAGAATAAAACTGGAACTACAGGATATGCCCTCCTGCCTGAAATCCTCCTTCAGCATGTCGCTTTAAGACACAATGGAAACAACCATTGTTTGTTTGTTTGTTTGATTATTTTGTTTTGTTTTGCCATCAGCCTCCTATGTATTGGGGATGGTAATTATAATTAAAAGCAGATGGGGGGAGGGGGTCCAAGGCCAGCTTTAAAATGCCTCATTGCTTTGGGCCAGAGCTGCAGCCTGGATTTAATTATAGATATGAGGACGAAATGGCAGTAAAAATGAATGTCTCCCTGAATCCTTTACATGTTGGGAGTGTCCATAAATAAAACATGAAGCTTTATTTCATCAGATTTAATTAAAGCTTTTATACATGTTTTATTGGTTATTCTATTAATCTGCTTCACAAACTGGATAAATGTGTGCTAGGGTTTGAGGTTTATTTGTGCCTTTTCAGGATAGTGCTACATCATGCTTTAGAAATGCTGCTGGTGCTTGTGCCCCAGGTGCGAGGGCTGGGGTGTCAGCCTACTGGCAGTTATAGGAGGGAGATTTTCCAGCACCCATTTTCCTAAAACCCTGTAGAGAAAGACTTGAGCCTCAGCTCCCCAGGGGCTGATTCCTTGACCTTTATAGTCCTCTCACTCCCCGGAGGAAGAGGAAAGGACAGTTACCCCTTCCATCCCCTCCTGTGTCCCCACCTGACACCCTGGCTGTGCTGAGCTACCTTCCTCTGGACCTGTCTGTGAGGAGGGGTCAGGGTTGTCTCATCTGGCCGGCTTCCTACCCTATCTCCACAAGCATACTTAGAAAGTTTACTTTTCCCTATGTCTTTAAGATGTGAGAATGATTTAAGGGGAAGGTACAAAGTAGAAGAGACAGTGGCCCCTGTATACTTTGTCAGGCCTCAGGCTGAGAGAGCAGACAGACACCATTTGGTTCTGGAGATAGAAGTGGAAAGCAGCACTGACTGACAAAACTTGGAGAACTCCTCAGCTTCTTAGAGGGGGCTCCTGGCAGGAATGTGATTTCGCCTAACCTCTTTGGAGAACAGTTTGGCGTTAAGCAGGAGAGTTGAAGGTATACATTTCCTATGTCCCAGAAATCCACTTCTCTGAAGAAACTCTGACGTCAGTGATGGCTCAAACATAAGATGATCCCAGCACTATTATTCAATAATTGCCCCAAACTGGAAATGACCCAGCTGTTCACCAATAGTAGAATAGATCAATGAGCCTTGCCTAAGGGTATGAGTGACATGGAGAAAGGCAATGACAGAACTACAACCACACACCATAACTCAGAGCTGAGCCTCACAAACAGGCTGAGATAGATACAGTGTTACTGTGTACAATGTTAATGTATACACTTCATAAATAAAACCCAACCATGGAATAAGTGGTAGATGTGTAGAGAAGAACAACAAGGAAATATCACAAAGGCCTGACTCTGGTGGGGGCGAAAGGACACATGGAGAAGTCCTGGGCTTCTGAGGACAATATTTTATTTTTTGATCCAAGTGTTAGGTTATACAGGTGTTTGCTTTATAATTATTTAACTGTGAATATGTATTTTATAGTGTTGAGTTCAAATAACAGCAAGAGCCAGATCTTTCATCCCCTACTCTGAGGTATGCAAATGTGTGCAAAGAGCCCAGATGGTACATACTTTAGGCTAAGGCTTTGAAGGCTATCTGGTCTCTGTCTCAGCTACTCAACTATGCAACCTGCATAGCTCAAAAGCAGCCACAGACAAGATGCAAACAAATGGGTGTGGCTGTGTTCCAATAAAACTTTATTTATGGATGCAAATCTAAACTTCATCTCATTTTCAGATGACATAAAATAGTCTTTGAAAAAAGTTCCCCTATTTAGCATGGTAGAAAAAATATTCAAAATTCACAGTCTATACAAAACCAAAAAGGTTTCAGGCAGGATTTGGCATGTGGACCATAGTTTGCTGACTCCTGTCAATTGAAAGAACATTCCCTAGCCCTTCCCATAAATACCCACTCAGAATTGCAGATATGAGCCTCTCCACTTGTTCTGCCACATTGGGTCCTTTCCTAGAGGACATTCATGAGTTCTATTGATTTAACTTTTCTTTGTTCAGATCCTGAGTTCTGCTCCCTGGGATACAGATGAATGCTGACAGCCTGGAGTGCCATTCGACTTTATCTCTGGATTTAATGTTTTTAATAAAAGGAACTGGGCATAGAGAAATCTGTGAGAATTGGAAAATGAGCATCCATTCTTTCCAAGCTAACTAAATATTTGCTGGATCTTGGCAGTCATAGTCAACTTTATTCCTCTGAAATGCTGAGAGGTTATAAGCAGTAGGAGGCTTCATTTCTCTCAGGTCACAGCTCTTATGAGAAGCTGGAACTGCCTTTAGTGACCTGCAGGGAAAGAAAGTCAAAGACGCCATGAAGGGCTGGAGCTATAGCTCCGTTTTAGAGCATGTGCACAGCATGAGTGAAGACCTGAGTTTTGTCACTGAGAAGTGGTTTTAGCAGAGTCTGGCCCTGACAGTTCCATCTGCTGCCCTCCTAAACACCCCAACTGCCCCCTGCCTCCTGGCTTCCCGTAATTCCCTAATTATGGCCTGTCAGCCCTGATGGTGCTGCCTGTTGGCTCCTCACACTTTCAGGAGAGAACGCATGGGCACAAGTGAACACCTCTGCGTCTCCAGCCTGTTAATGAAGTCAATAATTTCAAAAATAAGGTTATTGCTGAGTCCCGAGTCATTTGCCAGATACTAGCTTGAACTAAATCCTTTTCATCAGGTCTTCAGGGGTTTCATATGTCTGAGTTTATGTATTGTGGGCAGCTCTAATATTAAAGCTGCCGAGAGCCTAGTGTTTTGGGTAAAATAATTCAAATTTTAAAAAGAAGTTTAACCAGGAAAAAGCTGAGAAAACATCCAGTCCAAGCTCATCATTTATAGAAGAAACTGGGTCATTCATTCATTCATTAGTGCATTTATTCACTCATCCAGCCTTTATTGTGTGTCTACTATGTGTAAAACACAGTTGAGTTGGCCCATCTTCACAGAGCTAAAGGGGATTCCAAGAATTATCCACCTGAAAATATTGCCTGGGGCTTGTTAAAAAGGCACATTCTAGCCGGGGATTTAGCTCAGTGGTTTCGCTACCTGCTGCGAAAGCGCAAGGACCAGAGTTCAGTCCCCGGTACCAAAAAAACAAAAAAGGCACATTCTAGAACTACTAAATGTATACCATAGAGCTACTGTTACAAGTTTTAGAGAGTGAGGCATCTGCATTTTCAGTAAGCTCTCCAGGTCATTGTTTAAGCAAGCTAAAATTGACCGCCTTTGATATAGTAAAGGCAAACTGTTTCACAGGCAGCTAACTGTAAAAAAATTACTCAGCAGAAGAAGAGCTCCCAATTCCTGCCTGGGAAAATAGGAGAGTAGAGTCACAGTTACCTGAGAGAAGGAGAGAGTGGGTATCTGAGCTAGTCCTAAAAATAAATAGAACTTTAAAAAAGCAAAGAAGCAGAAGAAGGGTACACAGGACACAGAAAGGAGCATGTGCAGAGCCATCAAGAAAAGGAAAGTCACCCAACAAGCTAATTGGAGTGATGGAGGTGGACCCTTCTCTCCATTCTGAATGATTCTTCCATAACCCACCAGTCTGGAGTCACAGCCCTTTCCATGCAGGCCTGCTAAGTTCAGAGCACTTTTTCCCATCCCAGCAGGGGATGATATTTTCCCAGTTATTCTACAAAAAGGTATCCACCATCAAATCAGTTTGGGGAATTAGGGGTCAAAGTTGTATAATGTCTTTGTCTCAGGACCTCTCAGAGCCTTCCCTGTGCTCCAGGGCATTCTGACTCCAAGAGTGGGTGAGTCAGGGGACCCTCTCTCCAAAAAACCACCTTGTTAGTACCATGGAAACAATTTAGTGGTTCCTTGAGAAGTTAAACATATCATTACCATATGACTCAGCAGTTCCACTCTTAATTCAGAAGAATGGAAAGCAGGGACTCAGATACAGTCATGCACCACATAATGATGGTTGATCAATGACAAACTCTATGTCCGAGGGTGGTCCTGTAAGACTTTAATGGAGCTGAAAGACTTATATCACCTTGTGACGTCTTAGCCATCACGGGATCATAGCACAATGTATTACTTACATTTTTGTGGTGGTGCTGGTGTAAACAAAACAACTCTACTGTCTGTTGTATAAAATATAGCACATACAATTATGTGCAGTACATAATGCTTCATAATGATAAACTATATTATTGTTTCTATTAACTGTACTATTATTTTATCACTATTTTAGAGTATACTCCTTATACTTATTCTTTGAATTGACTGTAAAACTTTATGCTGTGTTATGCTGGCAGCAGCCTCATACATCTTATGCTTACCTGTCTCTTGACTGTATTCAGAGGCCACACTGAGTGATGAACCTTTGCCATCTAGGTCCGTGTAAGCACATTCTGTGATGCTACACACGGACAACATTTAACGTGCACAGTTTTTATTGAGATGAGATTTTTCTAAAGGTGGATAGTGATCATGTTAGCACAAAATTGTGAATGTACTTAAAATAACTGAATTGTATAAAGATGGAGAGAGTGGTAAATTTTATATTGTGCATTTTTTAACCACAATTTTAAAACAAAGATAATGCAAGCGGCGCACCTAATAGGATGGCTGACACCTGGTTGATATTGAAAAAATTCCGAAAGCACCTTGTTAGACCAGTGTTCCTTACAATGCTCTCTCTGTAAATGTCACCTACTCTGGGGAAGGTCAGAAGTAGAGCCCGGTATAGGAGGGTCAGTATTCACCCCTAATGGTTGGAAATAATTGCTGAAAAGGTTTGCTGAAAAAGCAGAAGAGGCAGAGAAGCTGAGGAAGAGGTGGTTTTGGAAGAAACTCTACAAGGGGGTTCTGAGCATAGAACACTGGGCCTGCTATGAATTCCCAGGAATTCAAGGAAAGAAAAGAAGGAGGAAGGAAGGGGACTGGATGTCAGTGTAGCAAAAGGAAGAGG